AAAAATGAAACTGCTTTGGAAACCACAGCAACGTGAGGAACTAAAATTCCCACAGAACAGACTTCACAAGACACGGTGTTTTGCCGACTGCTGTTCTGCTCCTTGCTTTTATTGGCATCAGGACCCAGATCTTGACCAGTTGCAGAGAGGCCCGTATCCTAGACATGCCAAACTGTTCTGCTGCTAATAGGAAAAACCCGGATGTAACTAGTGTTGACAAACATGCCCGCATGCTATCCGAGGACACTTTTGGGTCTGTACTGACGCCATATGTAACAAAGAAAGAACGGACGCGGATGGCAGGTGTTTATCGCAACGAGCAGTGAAAGATGTCGACAAGCATTTGGCAGTGTCCGTCGATTGTCTAAGTTCAAACGAGGGTTTCTTTGATTTTGCAGACAAGAAAAAACGCAGTCGCTGAGTTGGCTTGTGGAGTAAAAAACGTCTACCCAGTTTGTTAGAAGAATGCGTTGGACAGTCTTTGGAATGCGTACGACTGTCAGGGTGTAAAAGAGTCTGCTGCAATTATTAAGTTCCGATACAATGAATGAATTTGTTTTCGATTTCTACATGAAATATGCGAGCCGACATTTATTTAAGCGAGCATTTTCGCATTATAATTAAGTTATGCCACATCTTCTGTGCGGGCTACTATATTAGATAGTAAAAGAGGTCCTGGGGATGATCTTGGCCGATACAGTCTTCTTCTATGTCCCGTATCCATTCATGGCTTTCCACAATATCCTCAACTTTGTAGTTCTTAGTAATGTTTGTCTTATTCTATCTCTCCTAAACCCTGCTTTTCCATCCATTTACACATGTTTGTTAGGGAGGTTATTCGCTCCATATTTTTTTCCTCTTGAGAGAAAAGAATTTACCTGTGTATAGTGCAAGCGGCCATTGGAAATGCATTATTTTTAATCTATTCAAAAACTTATCTGTGTTTTGTGCTCTTCCACCTATTTTTGCTTAAAAAATGATCATAAAATCTCGCACTATACTCAAGTTTATAGGGTAATTAATTATTGGAAAGAATGAACTGAAAAAAATAACCTTTCATATTGCGTGAATCTTTTTATTTCCTTCAGTATAAGTAGAAATAAAATAAAGTGACATAACTGAACCTCAGTTTAGAGACCAAAAAAATAAATGAATTTACAGCAACTATTTTAAGAAAAAAATTAAGCAAGCAAATTCGGTACCTTAAGTTTTGTACTATAATCATGATCCGTCAGATTTTTTTAATCATTTCAACCCATGCAATGTAGGAAAACTATTAAGACTAGGGGCTACTGAGCGTGAACGAGTAAGAAAAAAGAGAAATATTTGTTACAGTTTTTTGTGTATATATATATATATATAGGTGTAACTAGTGAGTTAGTCAAAATGACTTAATTCCCTTTATAGTCTACCAATAGAAGATTAACCAATCAGAAGCTGCAGAACATTGTATCCGTCGTGTATAAAGGCAGCCATTTTTGTTTATCCTACTCGAATGACCAGTGCCAACTTGTCAGGCGAAGATGACAGAAGGAAGAACTACGCTCTGCTACTTTACTTCGATATCCACTGCTAACCTGAACTACGCTTTCCTACTATCTCCGAAATATTTACTGCTAACCTCTGGATTCTATACTCGAAGACGACCGTCAAAATGTCTAACAATATTAACCAGCGAGAACAACAGAAGAGTAATAAAGAAGTCAGTAGATAACGATTGACATTGCATTTAAATTTTGAATTTAGAACTCTCTAGTATATCTTAATAGTTTTAAGTTGTTTGTAATATTACTAATAAATCATATCGATTTGCTAAATTAAAGCAATTTTGTTTAATTATTTCAGCGTGAAAGAATATGAGAAAAACATTATTAAGACGATAAAAGAACAGGGATTAGGAAGTCAGATTAAGACGATTAACACGGCATTTCAATTTTTGAAAATCAAAGTTGATTAGTAAACAAGAAAGCAGGAAGAGAGACACACAAGCGAGAAGTTTGATAGAAACTGAAGAAACTATTAACATAGCATTTACGGTTAAATCTAATCATTTCATCTGTAATCTGATGAGACATTGTCGCCAATCGAGTACCGCGCTTAAATTTATAAATTTATTTTGTTATCATGGCGGAAAATTCATCGGAATATTTACGATTGAAATTATTCTTAGAAAACGTACAGGGAAGATATATTACAGCAATGGGAAAGTTCTTGAAGCCGAGAAGCCAGGTCAGCACCAATAATATTGCTTATTCTTCTTTGAATTTCAAGTTTCATGACAGGCTGTGGTCGTAGATGATACTCCAATTGTCTCGGTTAGGTGCTAATGCCGCAGTTTCTATGAATGAATTTCAAGTTCATTCAGTTACATTTTTCTACCTCTAATTTTTTGCCCCAGGCGCTATCATTTACGTCTAATATATTGTACTATATTTTTTTCATAATAAAACGGACTTCTGGAGATAGACGTATCTCTCTGTAAGAAGCACGTATAATACATTGATGGAAGCAAACGACACACGTTATCTTTACAAATTTTATTATCTATTTATTCGTTATTTTCCAAGCAAATTTTATGATAAAATTTGTTTACACCAAAAATAACGCAATAAATATTAAATTAACACTAACTGACAACAACTCCACAGAACAAGGTAAATTTTACCTTGAGAAGATGACAGCAATACTGGTTTGTCTAGAAGAGAATAAACTTAACAAAGCTCATTTCTCAAAATGGTTTATTGCTGCCATATGTGGGCCGGGGTTGACCAGTCTTCGTTTGCTTGTTTTGATAGAGTTCAAAAGCAGAATTATTTTTCGCCCTAAACCGCTTCCTCATAGACAAAAGTCGAAAGCGTCTTGCCGACCTATCTTTTTTCCTGGCAAGTTTTATAAGCTATATTCCAGTCTATTCCACCAGCACTCTCTTTTGCAGTTGGGTAAACCATTCTCATTCCCTTCGTATTCCATCAGTGAGAAATGAACTTCCGCTGGGACAGATTTTTCCCAAGAACTGCATTTTTTAGAGCAAAGCCCGGGCAGTATGTTTTCCCTGTCACTACAAGCTTGACCTCTTCAAGTCACGGATTGACCGTTATCTTTCCTACGTAACCTCATGAACTGTACTTGTTGACTTTTCTTACGCTCATACAACGCGACACGGTGACTTTCTCCCTTGAGTGGCTCTTTTATTGGGTGAATATTAGTTTAAGAAATGCAAGTACGAAAGAAGACATATTTAGGACATGAGATTCAAACAGGCCGGATTCATCGATATACCAGGCAAGGAGATATTCTACGCTATAACTACATAACGGTTCCAAAAACTGAACAATTACAATCGAAACCCATAAACTAAACTAAATAAATTCTTTTTTAAAAGCAAATGTAAATGATTAGAACCAAACTGAGTATAGAAAAGAGTAAAATAAGGAATAGAACAATTAATATAATGAATAGAGAAATTAAAATTAAAATAAACAACGTCAAAACACTAATCGTCCGATTCAGAAATTTCCCAATACGCCCCACGGCTCTATATATATTTATGAGCGTTTCAGATATGAATCCGCTATTTACAGTGCACCATGTTTAATAGGGGTTTATATCTATATGTATCTTCTACTTTTCATAAATAATCTAAGAGTATATTCCGATGAATCTGAAGACACACCTATGAATACACCTCGAAAATCTTTAATGAACAGAGATTAAGAGTTCATATAACCTTTAACCTATTTCTGACAGCTCAGCTAGGGAAAAAAACTGGCTGGTCAAATCCAATGCCTTGAAAATCAAAATAATGATATTCCACCATCGCTGATCGGACCCAGATCTATAACTAATCGCGATGATGGACTGTTCCGTGAATGAGTCCCTGTGCCACGTGCCTCTATTGGGACGTAAACTCAACGCAGATCTCAAGTGGGGTATGCCTACATACAATCTCTGGAAAAATGGTCTGTTCGGTGTAGCTCTCCATTAAGTACCTAACTTCTGATATTCTCTACATTTACAAGAGCCAAATCAGGTCGAAATAGGTGTTCTACAGCCATATATAGAAAGGAGCTATCCAGTCTACCCTTTGCAATACAGAAGCGCCTCCGCGTCATTGTGGGTGACAAATTATTTTCCATTCTACAATGTCTTTCTCACAGGCAAAACGTCGTAAGCCTCTCGCCGCTCTATGGCCTTTTCCATGGAATATGTTCAGCCGAACTACATTCTTTATTTAAACCAATTCTTACTGTCATGGTCCAGGTTAGGACCAAGGAAGAACAACACGAAGACAAGAGTAGAAATAACGAAGGTATATTACACGAATAATAATACAAGAGGTGGAAGGTGTTAGTATGACTGTCAGTCTGGTTTGGAGTGAACAACTATCGGCTCTACTCGATTCGACCCTCTCTCTTGAGAGACGTAGTATATATAGTGTTAGGAAGAGACCATTCTGTAGTTATAGGACCCATGACACTCTCCTCCCAAGCTTTTACCTCGCAGGGGTTTTTAATATTTTTTTCTTCTTCGGATTAATCATCAAAGGCTCTGTAAATTTTCTTTTTCTGCTTGATTTCCGGGGTTCTGAAATTGCTTGAGGCCTTTGCATATTGAATGTGTCAAATATTGTGTCCATTACTTCCTCCTCTTCGTGAGGTAGACCGTTAGAATCCTCTAACAGCCTCTTTCTGATCTGATTTAAGTCCCTTTCATGCGAGAACTTCGGACCCTGAATTATGTAAATCACGTTCTCGATTCGTTTCTCTATTGTACCTGGCTCCCAATAGGATGTATGTTTTTTTTTTTGAACATTTAAAAAAAAAAAACTTTCTCCTCTGGGCTAAATTTTCTTTTTGGTGCAAACGACGTTAGTGATTGATTTGTCTGTTTTGGCAGTAATTTGACGAATATCGATCCAATTTTTCGGGCGAACATTACTTCTGCCGGCGATAATGCCGATGGCGTAGTACTGTTTGGTGTAATTCTATACACTTGCAAGAATTGTTGTAAAGCCTTTTCTGTTGGTACATCATAAGCTTTCCTTAGTGCTCTTTTTGATGTATCTGCAAACCTCTCTGCTTGCCCGTTTGACCTTGGGTGATATGGCGGAGATTTGATGTGTTTTACCTGAAAAGTTTCACAAAATTCTTGAAAATCCGCAGATGTAAATTCTGTCGCGTTATCGGTGACTAAACAATCAACCACTCCGAAACGAGCAAACAGCTCGTGAAGGCAATTTATTGTCGTCTCAGAAGTAGGTTTTCTACAACGAAATACTTCTGACCATTTGCTGTAACTGTCTACTACAATCAAGTAGTAGAAACCCTCTAATGGACCTACGAAATCTACATGGATTCTCGACTACGGTCGATCTGTCTTAGGCCATGGCTTATGAATGATCGGAGGTGCCTTGGCTGCTAAGGAACAGCCCTTGCATTTGTCCACCATATGTATAATATCTTAATCCATGTTTGGCCAGTACACGTAACTTCGCATTAAGAATTTCATCCTGTTCTTTCATGGATGGCCCATGTGAAAATCCTTGAGGATTCGCCTTTGTAGCATTTTCGGGGTTACTACTCTTTCATTATATAGCAGAACATTATCACATAACGAAAAATTGTCTGATATATGCTTATCTTTTCCTGTAATTTTTTGTATTCGTTTCATTTATAAATTTGTTATTCACTGCTTCGTTTCTTATTTCCTGTAATGTGACGGGGAGGTTTCGAATTGTACTACATAATGATGTTCTAATATCTTCCTCATATCGTAGAGCTGCAATTACGGAATCTTCTAATGGCTCCGTTTTCTTTGGTGTTAGTCTCGAAAGACCGTCTGCATGCCCGATTTTGTTTGGTGGAAGATACTCCAATTTGAAATTATAGTTTAATAAAATCGTACCCCATCTTAGTAATCTATTAGCAGTATAGACAGGTAGACCTTTCTTTGATCCAAATATTGTTAATAACAGCTTGTGGTCCGTCTGCAAGGTGAAAAATCTACCGTAAATATATCTGGAATCTTGTAATCGCAAAAATAATCCTTACCTCCTCGCCGTGTCACGCACATTGTAGCGAACTACTGTTCAAATTCCATGGGGAAGGGGGTTGTATGTTCCATTCAAACAACTTTTTCCTTCGCAAACTGCTCTATCGAAACGACTCCCAAGATGATGCTTCCCCGATCACTATAATCTTAAGCTGTTCAATTCTAGGATTAGCATTTCTACATATCTACATAAACTGCGCCTTTTAGTCAGTATACCTCTACCTCGAGTGGCTCTCGATTCCTGTATAAGGTGAACATCATTGTAAAATAAAATCAACAGAGAGCGATAAATTGCAACCCACAGTTGTTTTTAGGCAGATTAATTAATTTCGCTGTTTTTTTTTATTATTCAGCCTTTACCATGCGTTGAAGTAGGGCAGAAAAGAAACATCTTCATTTCTTTTTGTTTCTTTTTTCTTTTTGCTTAATTTTGTGGAAATTATATCGTGCCTTAAGTTCACCAAACGCTTGTGTCGCATGCCACCCACAGTGAAACTCACATAAACACTCTGCAACACACATAGACATACACACATAATATTGATTTTTTTTTTTAACAGGAAAATTTGTGAAGTCAATACGGGTTCTGGGGCTTCCGTTGCAAATGGACAGCTTCCTCCTCTGTACCGTCACCCAAGGAAATGTATCGGTCACTTTCTGAGATGGTGGGTGGAGGAAGACTACCAACACCTGAGCGGCAAATCTAGGCGTAATGGGAACGTCTATTTCTATTCGTATATTGATGATGAACGGTAATGATTTCTATCGAATATAACAAACAGGAGATGATTAAAAAAAAGGGGGCTGCCGATAAGTTTTCTGTTCAACATGCTTCCCAAAATCAATAGTTCAATAACCAAGAGAAAAAAAAATGGTGTTGTGAAGTGGGATTTTCGGTGCACTTTTAGCACTTACAGCTAACGTAAACAAAGTAAAAATTCTGATCATGAATGCAAATCCAATTCGGAAGTAACATTAGAAACATTTTCACTATTTATCTGGATCCAGCTAGCAAAGAATAAATGCACTTGCGCGGGTGTTGCCAAATAAATTTAGCCACTATTTCAAGCCCCTGCTCCTCTCTAAACCTATGCCCGTATCTTCACATTCTCTCCCTTACCCTTTCGATCTTCCATTTTTTAAAAATATAAATTTAATACTGTTGTGGTAGGATCCACCTAATTTGCATAGTGGAGTACCGACCATATAAATATGGTTGGTACCGGGAAGACGAGGAAGGAATCAAGAGATTCAATCCAGAGACTCTGCCCGACTGCGAATAAGTCAACACATTCTCCAGGAACGGTCTTATACGATACAAAAGACTATATGTAAATATTGTGTACACTTTCTTGTTTCAATACATTTTGTTCTAAGTACATTTTGTGTTGCATTATTATTCCATGCATTAGTCAAGTTTCAACAAATACAAAGATGCATTAGTTTCAA